AGGTTGTTTTTCATTTTGCTGTACTCCATTGGTGCCGCTAGCCCGCGACGCTGGTGTCTGGTGGTGTAACAAAAAGTTTCTTTCTCTTTCGTTTTCTCAACTTAAAAAGATAATTTTATTTTAAAATGCAGGCAAGAAATTTGCCTCATCTCATTAATTAAGAAGAGTTTGTAAATACATAGCTGGCCGTCAAAGGACGACCCCCAATAAAAGCCAACTCTCGTGACCCCACAAAAAATAGGTTTGGTTCTCAGGAAGCTGAGCTAGGCAGAAGAAACGCTGGGGTTGGAGAATAAGATCGAGCAAGTAGCACTACGCGAGATGACTGACAGACATAACACAAGCTTTGTTCTTTTTATATAAGTAGTAAATGCGCAGCTCTCTGGGGGTAATCGGGAAGAGCGGGAGCAAGGTTCTGAATTGCTGGCTCGTGCTATTTCTGTAATCTCTTGGGTTTGCACCACAAACATCAGTCTTCGAGTATCTTTCAGCTTTTCTTGTCTCAAGCTTGAGACAACACACGGTGATGACAGTAGTAGTACTAGTCATCTTTCAGATCGCACCTTATGCAGAGGTTTTCTTGTCTCAAGCAGCAAATGACGCTACCTTTGTAAATCTGCCAAAGAGATGGACATCAGTTAGTCTAATTCTATGTGTATTATACGGAGTAGGTGTTAAAATTGTAAAGGTAAAGCTTGGCATCCCCATTGTTCAAAGTCTGCATCCGCCACAAGCAAGCGTTAATACTTACTACTACTAGTACACAAGACAAAGGGAAAAACGGGTACCCAATATGAAATTATGTATGGTTTGCTATAAAACTGATGTGCCATGTTCTGTCATCCGATGGCTCAACATCCCAGCTGGACCCATGCAGAGTGTGCGTTGTCCTCTGCCTGCCCAAGCATGGCGTGCGTATACAGTTTACCTCACAAGCATTTAACTTAACAATGCACGGCGAGGCTCCAAACACGAACGAGAAGAAAAATGGAGATTCTCTGAGATCAGCGTCCTGAGAATCGATCGACCAGCATTTCCCTTTAAATTATAGGAGTATTATGCAGGTTTGGTTCCGTGTTGAGTCCAAAACACACAGGGCGTAAGGTAATCTGCAAGTAGAGGCACACAATAATGCACGCACGGGCAGGGGAAGGAATCAAAGCCGGGCGCAAGGTGGACAGAGATGCCGAAACAAAATTATTTGGTCGTCCAGGGAACAGTTTGACTTGAATTCCACATGACCGTGCGACCGATCCATTCTATTCAACTCTAGCGTTCACACGGTGGAAACGTGATCCCATGCATGACCCTGATGACGGCACGGGTAGGTGCAACGCAGCGTGTCCATGCCCGACGATGTTCCTTTGGCTTTTGGCTGGTCGCATTCGAATCTTTGAAAGCGAGCGACCAGTGCAAATGCGCGAACACACGGAGAGCTCGACCGACCGCGGGAGGAAAAAGAAGATGAAGTAGTTTTGATTGTGGTGTGTGGGCTGTGGCACGGCCTCTGTTGAAAGAACAAGAACTTCACTCGGACCGTGTGATCTGAGAACGGAGGGCTGAGATTATGTGCAGTCCTGCAGTTCCAGGAGAGTTGCAGAAGCTCTAGCCGCATATAATTGGTCTGTGCACCTGAACCATTGCTTTTACTGCACTAGACACAAGATTAGGGCGGCCTCAGTAATGAATGATCTTCCACTTCCAGCTAACCATGATCGCCTCCAAAACAATACTACTACACGTGCCGACGATCACTCGCCGATATCATCAGCTCAAAAGCGCCGCACCCGCACGGCACGAAAGAGCAAAAATTCCCCCTCTGCTTTATTCGGCGGGGTCGGCCACTTGGGATACCAAAAGAGCCTCTGCTTTCTAGGTTTTTTTTTTTTTTTTGCAATTTCTGCTTTCTAGGGTTTCGTTGGCAAATTTGTGGATGATGTTGATTGCGGCATGGAGGGCCCTTGCAGGAGGAGAAGACTTGGCCGCGAAGCACCTCGACCTCGATGTTTACACGCCCGCCTGGGCGGGCACCCCAGGTGTCGTTGCCTCATGGCCATGGGGTGAGCTGGGGAGATTGTGCGCCCACCAGCCAATCAGCGCCTGTGGAAATGCCATGCCACCGGTAAAAATAGGGACACGGGGATGACTTGTCAACGACGAACGCAGTCGATGCGGGGCAATGCAGGAGTTGTTGTTCATCGGTTGAACCCTGACGCTGACGGTCTGGGACGACGGATGATGCAGCCTGTGATTACCTTTCGCTGCTTGTCGTACCACAAGCTTGATAAATTTGGTTTTGTTCATGGTGTTAGCTTTAATAACTTTGTTACTGCTGTTTCGTTATCCTGTGATGATGGTGTAACCTCGCCAATCTTGGACATGCAGGCGAGAAAAGGTCATTGAGTGAATGTACCATGTACTCTGCGACGGAGATGCAGAGAAGAAATTCAAGTGCAGAAACCAGAGTACACACCATAGACAGACAACACCAGAAAGGCCAGAAATTCATGACAAGTTCATCACTCAATGGCAATTACGTACAGTAGCATATACAACAACACATACATACACCCACCCGCAACAAAGGATCCAAAATCACTGCGAGGCTACGGACTCCACAAGTTGGCCAAAAGCTGCTGCGGAATCACAACGGAATTCCACACAGCCAGAAAAAACGAAAATGTTTATTCCCCTCCAACACCCCCTACCGTACCTGCGAACCCTCGTCCACCCTCATCCCGCGCTCCAACAGAACGGCTTCCGCTCAAGAACAAGAACCGGGCCTGCAGCAATTCTTGACTCTTTCTTTTCTTCAGAGATCATCAGACTCCATATATCCATATCCATCCCTCCTTCCCCGGGCCGGATCAACCACCGGGCGCGACGCGGCGGCCGCCGCTGCCGCTGCCGCCTTCCTTGGCCCTGGCCTTGCCTCCCTTCTGCTCGCCTCCGGCTGCCTTGCGGTTGCGTGCGAGGCACGGGAAGAGGCACGCGAATATGCTCGCCTTCACCTGCCCGCGCCTCGGCAGAGGCCGCCTCGAGTCGCCCTGCCGCTCCATTGCTGGCTGCTGCTGGCGCCTTCTTGCTCCGAAGGCCAGGAAGAAGAAGGGTCGAGAGAAGAGCGCGTGAAGGTTGGCGTGTGGGCTTGTGCTTGTGTGCGATGTGAGGGGAGTGACCGCTAGAGTCGCGCCCTTTTATAGCCAAGGTTCCTTGGGATGCAAGCAGCTGCTCTCCACAGTTCGAGCTCCATCTTGTGGAAACTTTAGGGTTTGGGCTTGGGCCTCGGCCCTGGCTCGAGCCTCAACTTTGGGATGTCACTGTACTGCCTGGGCAAATCTTTCTGCGTACGCTACCTTCAGACTGAAGATCTAAGTCAGATACGCGCCAGCCTGGTGTGTTTAGCCACTGTTACTTGTCAATCCAGCACTCCAGCCCGGTAGCAGATAACTCATCAGCAAGCAAGCCTGGCCTGGGTAGAAAAAAAAATTGGTGTTTTGGGTTGGGTCGCTGCAGGATTCTGTCTGAAAAATGCTGGGTCGCGCCACTAACTGACCAGGTTCTCAAGTTCAACACTCCAGCTGGAATGACATAGAAAACCATGCCACTGTCTGCCTGCCTACGGTGCGTGGATATAGTTTAAGCACTAACCTACCCATGGCCATGGGCCATGGCACTAGAAGAAAACCGAGATTTTCTGGATCACAACTTTCAGCATCGACCGCTCAGGTCGGGCTTGCAAGTGCCCAAACACAGGGCATAAAATAAGATAACCTGCAGGAAAAGCCGTACAATGATGCACTAGGAGCGAACTAAAATACAGCGGCGGATGGACAGAGATGTTACAAGGAAAATTATTTTGTACGCCCGGGGAGCAGTTGACTTGAATTCCACACTGTGACCTTCGGACCAACCTATATATTCTGTTCGCATTGGGGAAAAAGTCTTCGCTCTCTCGGGATGGACAAATTTTCTCTTCACATTTCAGAAGTGTCTGGAATCTCTAAGGCAGTGCACGGTAACAAAAGTACTAACAAGAGATCAGAGGAGCAGGAGACATAACTACTGCAGTAATTAGCAATCAGTTACTCGTGTTACTTTTTTGAAATGTAAGCAGCATATATTAATTTTCCAGTGTTAATTGTAGGCTAGAATCGCCACAATCCACAGGAGAGCAAGACCTTGGCCATTACTCAATGTTTAAAGGATGAGAAGTCCAATTTTCAGAGGGAAGGATGGAAATGCCTTTGTCTGACTTGTTCCAAGATGCTGGACACAGATCTGATGACCAGGTCTTGAAAGACAAGATGAGATGGTCCTGATCATGTTTATTTTTTATATCTAATTCCGTCTAAGAGTCTAACTACAAGATGTAGACACACTCTGTTTTGATGCCTCCAGTGTAAGCGGCAAAGCCTAATTATTTAGGGGATGGGAAATAAGGTAAGTTAAATTGCTTTACATCTGAGCAAGATTCCTGCTTATCTGGTGCTTATTACTATATGAAGCTAGTGAACTGGCCTTTTGACTTGAATTTGGCGCAATGAAAACGTGCTTCTCTTGGGTTCCCTCAGATTACTAGATGCTCTGCACATGTCCACTTGCTCAAGCATTACCATTTACCAACAATACAAGCTACCCATCACTAAATAATACAACTAATATTAGATGATCCGTTGGTCACACCTGATGACCTGAAGTTACTAGGAAGTGAGAACTATGAAAAATTCACATCAGGATAAATAATCATGAATGCTGTTCAGCATATTATTCTAGGTGACCCAGTATTTCTTGGTTATAATGGAAGATTAAAGAGGATCCAATTGATGTACAGTTGAAGAAAATCACCAAAATGAAGGAGTACTCTATTATGATCTATTAGAATGTGCTTGAAGCAATACAGAACCATGATATACTTCGTATAGTACAAACTAAATGTACAATACAGACTTCCAAGTAGAATCTTCGGCCTACGGCTCACCTGTTATCTGTCACTTCAGCAGTTACTTGGGTGGGACAACCAATGTATAGATTAGCAATGCCGAAACGATGATAATCGCCCCTACCAAGGTAAATCTTGGGCTTGTCCACAACATCAAGTTAGACCTCTCAGCTCTTTTGATTGGATCGACTTCTTCTGACAATGGATACTCACTGCGCCGTGGGTTCCAGGTCACATATTTGTTCGGTGAGAACTCTGAGAATAGGGTCTTCTTCCCTTTCTTCTTAAAGGTAGACCAAGCCTTATCCCAGTCAGTTGATGATGTGTCACCTGAAAAGTAAGACAGAGAAATGATTCAACCTGCAAACATGTTTTCATCATATACAAAATTCGGCAATCAAATGTGGATGTTTTCACCGGTAAACAGTGCGATGATTATATCTCTTTCAAATAAACTTCGCCCACCTACAATTTCCAGTTACTCACACATCATCACATATCAAATTCATATGTAGCTCAGGAAAATCCTCCAATCAAGTAGTTATATGGTGTTTGGTACTTGAAGAGGTTGAATGTTCAGGAGGTTCCTTTTCTTCAAGTGGAATGGGAGTCTGCTTATGTTACGAAATATAACATGCTCTGAGATTGACTGAATACTAGGATCATACTTCAACAAAGTCTTGTTGCTCTTTATGACACAATGCAACAGAGGAATCACATATCCTTTTCTTTCAGTCCTCTGCTGGATAATAGAACTGGAGTTCAATAAGGGTAATAGCTTTACAATAATTGATTTACTCTTCAATTTTGTCAATCTAGTTGTACTGGATGTTCCGTTGATTTTTTTTTAACTCTAGACATTAAATCGTGCAATTGACAAAAAAAGCAATGATTGGTCCTGTAAAACTTCCCAATATATTGGACTTCCAGGGAAAGGGCAGAGGGGGAAAACCTTAATGCATAGCAAACAGCTAGAGTAATAACTCTGGTGTTTGTTTCTTTGTATTTACTACCTCCGTCCCATAATATAAGAATGCTTTTTACATTAGTGTAGTATCAAAAACGTTCTTATATTTTGAGACGGAGGGAATACTATTTAGTCGTGAAACCTCTTACATACTGTTCCACTGAGTACTTTTTTATCGAAATGTTCTATTAATATCTTATAACAGTAGGATGTCATAGGCTACTGTTCCACTTCAAAATAATGTTGAATGGAAGTGGTGGTCCACTATCTGTTCTGACATCTTCCTTTGGTGCCAAATTAATACCTATCACAAGGTGCACATATTATCAGTAACATGTTATAACAAACTATTCGTAACATGACCTTTTTAATCTAACTCCAAAAAAGGAACTTCACAACCCACCAGTTATTATCCATCAAATCAAATATATAACCAAACAAGGGCAAATATCCAGTATTGACCAGTGAAGAGAAGAAGAATGTTTCATGCATATTTGAATTTCAGAAACTAACATTTCGTTCATATGGATTATGGGTAGAAAAGATATGACAAAGTATGTAAGAAGGAACTAACACGGTTTGTACTTGGTAAAAGATATGCCTGGTACGGTGAAGGAAAGCATTGCCATGGCAAAGACCAATGATGAAGCATAAACGACTTGATCAGAGAAATCAAGCATAACTGCAGGTAAACCTGGGAATAGTTTGTAATCCAAACTAAACCCGGGCCAAACCATACATGTATAAGTCCAGCGATCAAACCAAACCAGACCAAATTGCAAATGCTACAATCCAACCAATTCAAACTGTATGTATTTTCGAGCCAAATCCATCCAGACCATTTTCTACATACAGTTTGAACCTAAAGTTTCAAACCATGGGTCAGTCAGCAGCTACTGGAACGTTGGATCCCAAACGTAACCTGTACGTACAGAACGAAAGGCACATACGAACTGCGGCTAGCTTGGTGTGTGCTTGGTGTGAGGAGCTTCAGTGTCCGTGAGTCTGTGCGTGCACCGGAAGATCAGATGGTGGCACCAGAGAATCGGCTTCGTCACCGTCGGCTTCGTCGGCCACATCGGCAAGGTCGAGCTCACAGCCATCTCCATTGTCAGCAGCGTCATCGAAGGCCTCGGCTTTGGGCTCCTCGTGTTCTGCATGAAGGAGATGACTTTTGTCACCGGAGATCTCAGTGGTGGCGGGGCGGTATGCACGCTCATGTTGCTCATCTATGGTGGCGGCGGTGGCTGCACCTAAACCTACCACTGGGTCTCGCGTGACGTGCGTCGTGAGGTCAAACTGGTCACAAGACTGGTTTTTATCCATGGACTAAAACGGTCTGAGACCAATTTATCTCTGTCCAGACCAACCCACCCAATCTATTAATTACAAAAGCCCACACCAAACCAAATTACAAAAAGGGCTCAACCCATTTCAACCAAACCAAAGCAGCCCAACAGGGAAACCAAATTGAAACTATGGTTCCAGACCAAACTATTCCCAGGTTTAACTGCAGGCTTGGTGTTCTTGGAGAAATCAATACAGTATTGTTCGCTGTCACTAGTTTGAAAAAGGAGGTAAATAGATGCTGATGAAACGAGCTCTGTTTTTAAGGCGTCCCGCCTTGGACGCTTAGGCGACGCTTAGGCGATAAGGTGCCCCGCCAGCGCCTTACAAATATGCCCGCCTTAGGCGCTTAGGCGTCGCCTAGGCGATAAGGCGCCCCCCCAGCGCCTTAGATCGCCTTACCGCCTTAAAAACATAGGAAACGAGAACCTATTGCTGGATCAATAAACGACCTGTATAGAACACTAATGACATGACAATATTAACACCGGTCCTTATTGTAGATGCAGTTGTGAATATGCAGTGGCCTGCGAGTGCACACATGAACAGAACACACCTTTCGGTTGAAATAAAGGAAGCAAACATTGCATTTCACTTCAAAAATTATTATCTTAGCAGTTCGCACATGAAATGAGGCATTCACACTGTTCTGCAATCTGTATGGTCCAGTAAGCAGATCATGTCTGAACTCTGAACGAGTAAAGCGAGCAGCAGCATGTTGAATTTCAGATGCAGCGATCGGGCTAATACTATGATAATCTCGAAGGGTGACAGTCACCATCACTACAGAGGAAGAGCAGTGAAACAGGGGCAGCGCTAATCCGGCAATCAAGTGTAAGTAATTAACGGCGGCATTTCATCAAACACCTAGAGGGTAGAGGGAGCAACGAGAGACTCAACAGCTGCTGGTAGACTGTGTGTGCTGCTCATACCTTCGTCCCTGCCGCGCTTGTCCGGGGAGCCTCGGGAGCAGCGAGGGGCGAGCGCCAGTGGAGGCCGTCGAGCCAAGAATCTCCCGGAAACCAGTAGTATCCCCATGGCCCCTCCCCGTTCGAGATTCTGCCGATCAGGAAGGATTCTTTCCCCGCGCGGCCTCTCTGCTTATCGCGGTGGGGCGGGGCGGGGCGGGGAGAGGAGGAGGCGTGGCTGAGAGAGCGCTTGGAGTCGCCTGGCTGCTTGCGTGGCGGACGGCGACATGGCAACCGTGTGGCTCTCCCTGCACCAGAGAACCCTCACGCCTCCGGTACGGTGGCCGGGCGGCACGGGTGATTGCAAAGAAAAGAAAATTGCTATGCTAATTTGTTGTTTTCCGCAGCTGTTTTCCAATTCGAAACAACCTGCAAAGGTTTCCGAACTTTGACACCTCCACTATCTGTTCCTGCGATTTCATCTGCTCCCGACTCATGAAAAAACACCTAGTACAAAGATAGCTTCCATTTCTAAACCGTCCCATCTTGTTGATTTCTTTTAAGAATCTCATCGTGTGGCCTTTTTTTAATACAGTACAAACACATTGCACTCATCCATATGAACGCAAACACACCGTACCCCTATAAGCACATTTTTTAAAAGATCATATTCTGTCAACGACTCGGTGGCTCACGAGCGGGAGGACGGGAAAAGATTCAAACAAGAGGCTGAGTCGAAAGCCTCGACTGCTGGCTCGGCTTGCTGGGCCTGAATGGGCTTTAGGCCTTGTAATAGTATAAGTAGGGGATAACGTCAACAGTACGGGTGGCGAGCGGCAAACGACTGGAACCACATTGGAAGGGAGCTGGTCTCCTTCCTCTCGACCCCCGTTCTGTAATTCGAATTCCACCATGAAATCGAGCTAGTAGATCGAGAACCTTACAACCTGGCATCAGAGCCGTTTGATCCCTCGGCCTCGCCCGTCCACCAGAGGCATACCAGGTTCGTCGACAAGCTACGGGTGGCGGCGATGGACTACCTCTCATAGGAGACAAAGGCCCTCTATGACGCGCGAACTTCGACAAGGCCGAGAGCAACCGCATCGACTCTACCGCGATAGCAATCTCCAAGCTGGATGCAAAATTGGAACAATTTTCAAGCCTCATCGACGACGTCAAGGTCTCATTGGGCGTCGACATCAACGAGCTGCGTCAAGGTATGGATCGATCCCCTCAACTCCCTCCGGACACATCAAGAGGCGCTCCTTCCACTCCCACAAGGCAGCCTGGCGGTGGATCGATCGGCCCAGATGGGCACCGCGTTGACAATGAAAAACGGAGGACGTCACATAAAATTTATGTTCCTCCTCCGGTCAGAGGTATGCAGCTCAACCAAAATCCTCACCGCACGCCGCTTAGCTCTCAGGAGAATTCAAGGTAGATCACTACTATGTGTTCGGGCTTGGATCACGAATTGAGATGCCTCGATTCGATGGTTCCAACCCAAAACTATGGCGGAACCGGTGCGAGGATTACTTTAGATTCTGGAATACTCCGCAGAACCAATGGATTTCCCTAGCAACTTCACTTTTCGAAGGACCAGCAGCAAGATGCCTTGAATCAATGCGAAGATGAGTGCCGAATGCAAGTTGGGATGAGTTCTACCGCTTGTTGCAGGGCCGGTTTGGTCACAATCTACACCAAAGCATTCTCAGCAAAAAAAGTCATATCAGCCAAACATGAACAATTGAAGAATATGTAGAGCAGTTCTCTGAATTGTTTGACCAGTTGGCTACATATGAAAGTTCACCCAATTTTGTGCATTATGTCACCAGGTTTATGGAAGGGCTAAATGATGGGGAACGAAACATGAAAATAAAAAAAATCCTACAGACACCCAAGATCTATCTAGGAGAAGTATAGCAATGAAAGGGGAGCGTGTGTCTACGTACCCTCGTAGACCAAAGGCGGAAGCGTATATAACACGGTTGATGTAATCGTACTCTTCGCTATCCAATCACAATCCAATTGATTTAGTGACGAACGGACGACACCTCCGAGTTTAGCACACGTGCGGCTCGATGACGTATCCTCCTCCTTGATCCAGCAAGAGAAGGTGGAGAAGTAGATGTGATCACAACCAGCACGGCGGTGTGGTGGTGATGGTGGTGGTGGAGCAACGGTAGCGCTTTGCTAAGCGAAAAACCGTGGACGAGAACTATGCCGGGAGGGAGAGACGGGGCAGCAGCCAAGGCCAATGTCTTCGGGTGCCTTGCTGCACCCCTCCCCTATATTTATATGCGTGGGAAGGCTAGGAGTCTAGCCCTACTCCTAATAGGAGTTGGCGCCAAGGGGGAGAGGACTTGGACTCCAAGTTCAATCATATTCCTATTAGGACTCCCTTTTTTTCTCTTCCTTGGCCACATGGGCTTTTGAGTACTTGGTGCGCCTAGCCCAATAAGGCTAGGGCGCCTCCCCTCAGCCCATGCGAGCCCTTGGGATATGGTGGACCCACTTGTGGACTTTTGGACCCATCCAGAAACCTCCGGAACCTTCTGGAAGCTTTCCGGCACAATACCAAAAAAACTACACCTTTTTCCGGAACCAAAAATATGACTTCACATATATAAATCTTTACCTCTCGGCCATTCTGAGACTCCTCATGACGTCCGGGACTCCAAACAACATTCGATTACCAATCATCAAATATCCCAATACTACTCTAGCGTCAACGAGCGTTAAGCATGCGACCCTGCGGGTTCGGGAATCATGTAGTCATGACCAAGACATCTCTCTGGTGAATAACCAATAGCCGGACCTGGATGCCCATATTGGTTCCTACATATTCCATGAAGATCTTTTATCAGTTGAACCACGATGTCAAGGATTCGGTTAATTCCATATGCAATTCCCTTTGGTTGGCGATATGTTACTTGCCCGAGATTCGATCGTCGGTATCTCCATACCTAGTTCAATCTCGTTGCCGGCAAGTCTCTTTACTCATTCCGTAATACAAGATCTCGTGACTAACTCATTAGGCATGTTACTTGCAAGCTCTTTACGATGTTGTACTATCGAGAGGGCCCAGAGAGATCTCTCCGTCACACAGAGTGACAAATCCCAGTCTCGATCCATGCCAACCCAACAGACACCTTCGGAGATACCTGTAGAGCATCTTTATGATCACCCAATTATGAAGTGATGTTTGATAGCACATAAGGTATTCCTCCGGTATCCGGGAGTTGCATGATCTCATGGTCTTAGGAATAAATACTTGACATGAAGAAAGTTATAGCAATAAATTCAAGTGATACGATCAAATGCTAAGCTTAAAGTTGGGTCTTGTCCATCACATCATTATCCTAATGATGTGACCCCCTTATCAAATGACAACTCATGTCTATGGTTAGGAAATCTTAACCATCTTTGATCAATGAGCTAGTCTAGTAGAGGCTCACTAGGTACACAATACTTGTTTATGTATCCACACATGTATTTAAGTTTCCGTTCAATACAATTCTAGAACAAATAATAAACATTTATCATTAACAAGGAAATATGATAATAACCAATTTATTATTGCCTCTAGGGCATATTTCCAACAGTATCCCACTTGCACTAGAGTCAATAATCTAGTTCACATCGCTATGTGATTAACCCCTAATGAGTTTTGGGGTTTGATAATGTTTTGCTTGTGAGAGAGGTTTTAGACAACGGGTCTGCAACATTCAGATCTGTGTGTACTTTGTAAATCTCAATGTCTCTGTCCTTGATCCAGTCACGGATGGAGTTGAAAAGGGCATTAAATATGCGCTTCATATGTAAATCCCTCCTCGACGCTTGGTTTGGAACTACTCCAAATGTTTGCTCCACTTGACGTATCCAGTTCAAGACTCAGGGTCATCCAGATCGGCTTGAAAGCTTGCATCGACGTAAACCTTTACAACAAACTCTTTGTTACCTCCATAAACGAGAAACATTTCCTTAAGTAACTTAAGGATAATTTTTGACCGTTATCCAGTGATCCACTCTTGGATCACTCTAGTACCCCCTTGCTAGACTCATGGCAAGGCACGCAATAGGTATGATACAAGAATGGCATACATTGTAGAGCCCATGGCTAAGACATAGGGGATGACTTTCTCCCTTTCTATTTCTTCTGCCATGGTTGAGCTTTGAGTCTCACTCAACTTCACACCTCGCAATACAGGCAAGAACTTCTTCTTTGACTAGTCCATTTTGAACTCCTTCAGAAACCTTGTAAGGTATGTGCTTTGTGAAAGTTTTACCAGGCGTTTTGATCTATCTCCATAGATCTTGATGCCCAATACGTAAGTTGCTTTATCCATGTCTTCATTTGAAAAACTCCTTTCAAACAACCCTTTTATGCTTTCCAGAATTTCTACATCATTTCCAATCATCAATATGTCATCCACATATACTATCAGAAATGATACAGAGCTCCCACTCACTTTCTTATAAATTCAAGCTTCTCCAACAACTTGTATAAACCCATAACTCTTTGATCACCTCATCAAAGTGCATATTCCAACTCCGAGATGCTTGCACTAGTCCATAGATGGATCGATGGAGCTTGCATATTTTGCTAGCATCCTTAGGATCGACAAAACCTTCTGGTTGCATCATATACAACTCTTCCTTAAGAAACCCATTAAGGAATGTCGTTTTGACGTCCACTTGCCAGATTTCATAATCATAAAATGCGGAAATAGCTAACGTAATTCTAACAGACTTAAGCATCGCTATGGGTGAGAAAGTCTCATCATAGTCAACCCTTCAACTTGTCAGAAACACTTTGTGACAAGTCGAGCTTTATAGATGGTGACATTACCATCAATGTATGTATTCTTCTTAAAGATCCATTTATTCTCAATGGCTTGTCGATCATCGGGCAAGTCCACCATGTTGGGAAACGTTGCATGGAAAACAAAAAAATTCTATGCACACGCAATGATCTATCCATGGAGATGCATAGCAACGAGGGGGAGAGTGTGTCTACGTACCCTCGAAGACCATAAGAGGAACCGTTTATTCAACGCGGTTGATGTAGTCGTACACCTTCGCGATCCCCCCGATCAAGTACCGAACACACGACACCTTCGCGTTCTG